CATGTATGATTTTGTAGTATGGATTCAATTTCACTGTTAACTGCTTCTTTCCAAAAGGAAGCTTCAGTTGATGACATAGCCTCTTTAAAAGTTTGAGGTTCATTTTCTAATAAATATGTTAGAAAATCGGGTCCAAATGAAGTTTTCGTCCTAGCCCTCTTACTTCGTCTCGGTTCTTCTTCATTTATTGATTCTTGATCTACAGCCTCATTATTATCACGAGGTCTTTTTAGTGAATTTGACTCACTTTGCAAGTTATAAGGAAAAACATTTTCTAAAAATGTAGCATCCCTTGATTCAATAATCGTATTAACATGCACGTCGGGTATTTCAGACTTAAATACCATAAATCTGTATGCACTACTATGATAGGCATAACCAATGAATACACAATCAACTGTTTTCGGTCCTATCTTAACCTTTTTAGGTTTAGGAACCGCTACCTTAGCCAAACATCCCCATACCCTTAGATATTTATAGTTAGGTTTGTGACCTTTCCATAATTCATAAGGTATCTTGTGCGTTTTTCGATGTGGCAATTTGTTGAGAATATAATTGGCAGAAAGCAAAGCTTCCCCCCACAAGTTCTTCGGTAATCCAGAACTTATCAACATAGCATTCATCATCTCCTTCAATGTTCGATTCTTGCGTTCAGCAATGCCATTAGATTGAGGAGAGTAAGGCGCTGTAGTTTGATGAATAATTCCATGTTCCGAACAAAATTGTTCAAACGGAGAATCATATTCACCACCTCTATCACTTCTTATTGCCTTAATCTTTTTGTTAAGTTGATTTTCAACCTCTAATTTATAGTGTTTAAACACTTCAATTGCTTCGTCTTTGCTTTTGAGTAAATACACATAGCAATATCGAGTGCAATCATCGATGAAAGTGATAAAGTACTTATTACCGCCTCTAGTTTGCACAAACTTTAAATCACAAATGTCAGTGTGAATTAAATCTAGTGGTTCGGTACTTCTTTCAATAGAACGAAAGGGTAAACGAGTCATTTTTGCTTCTATACATATATCACATTTGTGATTAGGATCTAAATCGCACTTTGGTAATAAATCCAATTTGATTAGTCTACGCAAAGTATTATAATTTACATGTCCTAATCGTTCATGCCAAATATTAAATGACTCAAGCAAGTAAGAAGAAGATGTAATTTTATTCATAGGAGGTACAACAGTCATTACATTCAACTTAAAGAGCCCCTCATTTAGGTAGCCCTTCCCAACAAACATGTCATTCTTTGTAAGTACAAATTTGTCCGAGACAAATACTAATTTAAACCCGTTTTTGCTTAACAAGGAACCAGATACTAAATTCTTTCGAATATCGGGCACATGAAGAACTTCGTTCAAAGTAAGCTCCTTTCCACTTGTCATTTTCAGCACAATCTTTCCATGTCCTTCAACCTTGGAAGATGAAGAGTTTCCCATGTAGAGTTGTTCCTCATTATCCGTCGCTTTGTAGGTAGAGAACATCCCGCGGTTTGAGCATATGTGTCGAGTGGCTCCAGTATCCACCCACCATTCCTTAGTGTTTCCAACTAAGTTGCATTCAGAAACGATCGCTGAAAGATTCATGTCTTGTACCTTATCGGAAAGGTTGTCATGTTCTGTTACATTGGCCTGATGAGGTTTTCCCTTGACATTCTTTGGCTTCCGACAGTCCTTGGACCGATGTCCCGCCTTGCCGCAATTGTAACAGTTGCCTTTGAACTTTTTAACAGTTTTCGAAGAACCAGATTGCCCTTCGCCATTGCGCTTCCTCTTCTTGTTAGTCTTTAAGCCTCCTTCCACAATGTTGGCCTTTGATTCCAACGAATTAGATGCACCATTCCTCTTTTCAGATTTGCGGTTGTCTTCTTCTATTCTCAACCGGACAATGATATCTTCAAGTTTCATTTCCTTCCGCTTATGTTTAAGGTAATTCTTGAAGTCCTTCCAGGAAGGCGGTAACTTCTCAATCAGTGCAGCAACTTGAAATGATTCACTAAGTTTCATTCCTTCAGCATGGATATCACTGAGTAAAATTTGAAGTTCTTGAACTTGGGATATGACAGTCTTGTTATCCACCATCTTGTAATCCAAGAAACGACCGGCAATGAACTTCTTCGTACCGGCATCTTCAGTTTTGTACTTGGTGTCCAAGGAGTCCCACAGTTCTTTTGCAGACTTCGCAGTGCAGTACACATTATATAATGTGTTGTCCAGTCTATTGAGTCCATAATTCCAGCATAGAAAGTTAGAATGTTTCCATGCATCAACCGCAGCCAATTTCTCAACATCAGAATCTGCTCTGTGTAAGAAGGAGCATCTTCTTTGAGAAATTTTGTCATACTTAATGTTGTCCGATAAAATAATCTTTTGTTGCCAATGCTTAAAATCTAACCCATTAACTTGCTCTGGTTTTTCTCCAGTCGTATTAGAGAGTATAGTACTAGAAGTTGCTAAAGTTGCCATTTCTGAAACACAATCAAAAGATAAACGATAAGGAGTGGAACTAGAATAAATTCACAAATTCGTTTTAAGATTGTTATTTTGGAATACAAAATTCTCCTTCAATTAGAATTACATTGATCAACATGATCACAGTATCCATTCGAGTCCACCGAATTCACGATGTTTCCTTAAAATGAATTTGCTGCCTTCATAGGTGCTAAAGGTATTCAGCAATCACTTCCCATGATAGAACAAATTTTGTCTCTTACGGGAGCAGTACAGCAATCTGCAGGAGTTTTAACGAACTCAACGAAGTGTTTTTTCACTTTGAAAATAATAACAGAACAAGATACGTGAAATTCAAAGCAGAGAATTATTGCAATGAAAATGGTGTGATTTTTCTAGCAGTGGGGGCAAGCTATTTATAGACTTGTTTGTGGCCATTCGAACAACCTTCAAACCTTTTCAGAATAGTCATCACTGTTCAGACAGTCCTAAAAAAACTCGAACAGACAGTAAGGTTCAATTAATAGTCGACTGTTTAGTCAATTAACAGACCATCTGACACCCGAAAATAAGCCAATAAAAAATAATATCATCAAGTATCCAAGAATTTGATTAATTACAAGCCGAGACGAGCCGGTCGAACGACGACACGCACGTGTAGGATTTGGATCGAATCCAATAGAATATAGGTATCCCCTTTGGACCGAATCCAATAGGATATAGGCAAATCTAATAGGATATAGGTATCTCCTTTGGACCAAATTCAATAGCATATAAGTATCCCCTTTCAAAGACTATTTTCACTATTTTATAGTTTCAAGTGGATTACTTTAACATTAAATATTTTATTCAATTCTAAATGGTTTTCAATA